AAAAGATGCCACTGAAGACGTGTCACCTGGAAAGGCCACTGTCGAAGAAAAAACTCTACTCGGTTTTGTGAAGGGAAACATCTGAAGCCCTTCATGAAGTTACTACCACTGATGTGACTATTACCAATAATAGGACAATTCCTTATGGAGCAGATGAACTTCACCTGAAGCAGAAGCTAATACAGAAGAAGATATGTCACGGAAAATTAAGAGACTTTGTTGAATTTTAATTTTTGCGTTTGTAGCATTTGTAAATTCTGTACATTTAATTAAGTTATTGTTAATTATATATTGGTTTAATGTAAGTGGCTATTGTTCGGGACGAACAATACTAAGGAAGGGGCAGTGTTACGACAACAGAAGTCACGTGACGCTAGTAACACGTCATGATATTCTAGAAGGATGGGGGAACATCAGAAATAATCCACTATTTGCTAGGCGCCCTCTATTCTTGTATATAAGTGCGCCAGATAAAGCGAAATTAATAGGGAATAGAATTGCAGACAGACAGAGACAGACAAATGAGTCAAGCGCGGTAGTGACTGTAGATAAAGGGCGTGAATCGTTTTGAATTATAGCGTGAGTTTAAGTTAAAGTGATTGTGAAAATTAACTGTATTGCAAAGTTGAATTGAGAAAGAATAAACTAGTTTTATTTAAGAAAGGACTTGTATTGCAGAAGTTTCTTCGGAAAGAATTTCTATGGAAAATTAACAAACGAACACATACGTAACAATAAGTAAGTTTTAGGATAACCTCAATATTTTTGAAATAAAACTATTATTCGCAATAATATTATGAAATAACTGCAGAACATTGAAAGAACTTATAAACTATTTTCGTAATGTATTTTTAACCGCGGCATAGCGGCTCATACAACGACTCTGAGTTTTTTGTTTTTTAAGTACAAACTGCATAGCTCCATCATCTCTGGACTGATTTGAGATTTAGTTATAGCTGTAGACTCACGAGGTGATGTTATTTGACCATGCCCAAGGTCTTATAGATTCATTTATTCTAATCCTGCCTAAAATAATTTCAATTTGAGAGTAGGATGGTAGAGATTTTGATGAGTAATAAAATCGAATATGGTATATGAGCACCTCACACTTGGCACTCAAAAATATATTTAACAAAAGTAAACAAAAAAAAGTATCATAGATTAATTTACTCTAATCGTGCCTAACATAATTTATGGAATGCTGCAGCTATTGAGGATTCCCTCTTGTTTGAATATTCTTTATATTACATAATGAAACTAACATCAATCCAAATTGTTTGTGAGGTTTAACTATGTAACTTTGTAAAAACGTCAGAATAAACAACATAGCCATGTGTTTTCTAACATAGATGTAGCATTTTAAAATCCGATAAAATGAAAGAAAGACTGGGGAAATATCCCACGAACCCACTACAAAGTGTCGAAAATGAAATGTCTTTTTGCTTGCGGGAAGTGTACTCAGTCGGGGACAAGTGGCCACTTTGTTGCCTGGATTAGTGTTTCATTAGGCAAAACCAAACATTGTCCATCCCTCCAATCAACACTGAACATTACATGAATGACCTTGAAAGTACTACAGTACAGCGAAAATAAAGGAGGAGATAAAATAACAACGAACTATCTGTTACATATCTGCTCGTTTGTTAATTTCCAGTATAAATTCTTTCCGAGGAACTTCAGCGATATAAGTCCTTTCTTAATGAAAACTAGTTTATTCTTTCTGATACAACTTTGTAATACACATAATTTTCACAGTCACTTTAAACTTAACAACCTTTATAACACGCGCTGTAAATCATAGTGGTTCACACACTTTACTTACGGTACCTACTGTTCGCTTGACTCAGTTATCTATATCTTCAATGTATCTGCATATCTATCTGTCTATTCCAATCGCGCTGATTTTCCTCGCCAGACTTATATACTAACAAAGAGGGCGTCTCGAAAAAACTCGAGCCTCTCCCATAATTCATGATCCTTCCAGAAACTCCAGCGCGCATGCTCCCAGAATCACGTGACTTCCGCTGTCGTAACATATCTCTAAAAATAAAGCTTTAAATGTGGATTATTAAATTTATTGCTGCAAAATCATAATATGATCGCGGAATATTTCAAAAGAAAGAGTAGTTGTCCTAACTTTCATCTAAACAACCTTCTTTAGAACACTGAAGAAAGCGACCATGGAGGAGGTGAATAGCCACAAGGTGAAGGGATAGCCAGTGGCCAGAAAACAGGAAGCAAAGAGTAGTACAATAGCACAACTATAGTTGACAAGTTAGTTTCAACAAAGAGACGGCGGAAACTGATTATATAAAATAAATAACAAAAGAGTAAAAAACGAAATACGGAACATGATAAAAAAACAAAAAAATACCTGCCAGATTCTGAATCACTTTTCACAAATTGAGATTTAACTAACCCTCACTCTGAAAAATTTCATGAAAGGTTATAACAATGAAAGAAATATCATTTTTTTATACCTTGTACGCTATAATGTTTGATAGTTTTTATTCCATAGGTATTCTATTAATGCGCGATTATATGGATCTGTAAAATCCATATATAGTTTACACAAATTTTACATAAACACTTTATGTTTATGCCTAAATAACAAATATTTAGGAAAATCGGAATTAAGATTATTTTGTTGCATCGAATATTAAAGAGTTATAACTAAATAGTTAGTTTTGGTTTTTCTAATGTCATCAACATATATATAAATTAAAATACCTGTAGAAACTTGATTTTATATCTTCAACTAACATTTATTTTCATTGTTTTGTTTACTAACTTTTGTCAGTATGATTGTGTATGTGTGTACATATATACATAATCGATCATAAGTATTGTAGTACTTATAGTAGGAATGAGCCAGATGTACAATACGAGCAAAGAGGCAGGCGGTAGTACTGCCTATGTAGGGAATTTTAAATATCTCCTCAATAGTTCATCACAACTATACAATGTTTCCTTTTGTAACAATATCTATGTAATACCTGAGTCACAAGTTCTGGGAATGTCTGTAAATATCATAGCAAGAAGTTTGAATTTCTACTTCTTTCTTTCTTTCCTTCTTCTGTTTCTTTTTCATAGCACGAAAACTAATACAGTGGTGTCAACCAATTTCGCTGATGTGACATAGTTTCAAACGGAGTATCTACTTTTATAAGTATTATTTTGTACACATACAAAACAGACGATGCGCTATTTTGGGCTTATAAGTATATTTGAGGGTAGGTTGGTAAAGATCCTGATGAGTAACAAAATTAAATCAGAGATACGCGCGTCCCATGCTCGGTATTGCTGGCGCACAAGAATATAGTTAACATTTAAAGAAAAACACTTTTTCAAAAAAAAAGGAAGTAAATGTAGGGATGGTATTTGCATCATCCCTAAATAATAGCACAGGAAAGAATTAACATATAGCACTTGTACATGTATATATAATAACAAACAACAATCATTACAATAATTTTTCTTTTTCTTTCAAAACACTATCAAAATACGAACGTAATAACAGGAAGCATTTATTAGACGTTTCGGAATCGTCATAATTCCATCATCAGTAATCTCGAAGTTCCTTCTTTTGAAACTCGCTAATAGAAACCTTCAAAACTCAATAGCATACCGCAATTGTCAAAAGCGCTTACTTGATGAAGAACTTAGATGGAAACACCAACACAGATATTACCTCTCATCCAAGCTGAATTTTAAGATTACCGATGATGAAATTATAACGATTTCGAAACGTCTAATATATGCTTCCTGTTATTATGTTCATGTTTTCTTTTATCGTAATCTACGTTTTCCGAAAAATGTGTCGATTACTACTATTAAAAAATAACCAATTGGACAGTATCGCTTTAAATTGATCTAAACGTGAAATTATGAAGGCATACAAAGTTATATGAAAATATAAACTACTAAGTTATTTATCTATGTGATGATATTAGATAGAAGTACAGAACGCTTTGTAAGTGAAAAAATTCAGACACCATTATTACAATTGACAATCTGAGCCCTCAGTGGCACAGCGATAAGTCATCAGACTTACAACGCTAGAAACCGGGTTTCTATACCCATAGTGGGCAGATAGTCCATTGTGTAGCTTTGTGCTTAATTACAAACAATCTGAAAATGTCGAGCTGGTTGCCATCTATGAGATTTCATTTGAACTAAGCCTCAATGCATTTTCTATGGTCATTTTTAGCTCATCTCTCTTACAAATAAAGTATCACTTGAAGAGATTTATCATTTTAAGAGTAAATCATAAACGTAATTGAAGTGGATAACCTCTTAGATTTGAGTCTACTTACGCCTGGTTTTATTTTATTATATATAAAAATTACGACAAAATTGAATAAAAGAATGAACACTTTAACCATATAAGTTTTATGCGGTTACTGAATTTCATGTTGAGAAAGTAACTTTTTCAAAATTCATTTGATAAAAAAAACTGTTACATAAGTGGCCTAATTTTAATTTGTAACTAAATCTTTAATGTCTTGACTTTTCCAAGAAGTTGTTATTTTTAGAACATTTTATTTAACAATCTCGAAAAATACACATGGAACATCCTTTCAAATCCCGTATAAAGGTAAATAAAAACCTTAAGTAGGGTTCCTATTGTTACACAGTAGTAAGTTCTTGATAGGGTTCCGGTTTCGACCAGCGCACCGTTTTTTAGTACAGAATTCCTGTTCCGTTCCGGCCCGAGTTCCAGCTTTTAGTACATGCCCTACAAATGAGCATGAGCTCGGTGTTTATATATATATATATATATATATGGAATAACATAAGTAATCTTAGGACTGTGGGATTCCACACAATGACTCCAGTCTAATTTCAAATTGAAGACTATACGATTCTGTATATTTTTCTTGATCTTGTCCTGTGCCGACGTTTTGCGAAATCTCTATACCCCAGCAGCCAGTTGCAGTCACACAATAGAAGCCGGCCAGAAAGACGATGGTGTATCATTTACACTTTAGCGTGAAATAAATTTATCTTTTATTTGTTCACTTGTGTCTGCTAGGTTTCCATCTGCGTCTTTGTTCCAAATTATTTTCTACATAAAGTTTTTGGAACATGAGTTAAACAGATGTTTGTTTGTTTTGTATCTGCCACTACATATTTATAGCTGAGTGCTATAGAGATGTAAATGTTTGAATATCATAAGATCTAAAAATTTTTAATTTGGAAAGTACTATCTGAAGTCAATTATTTGACATATTTAATAAAACAGAAACGACTTTCAATTTTCAAAAATGCAATACTATAATATCCCAAAATCTTCGTCAGGGTATAATGCAATACAAACAATCTGACTAAAGATTATGCAGGATTTGCCTTATTTATAAGTAGTATTTGAAAAATTGCACAGAGTAATCTCGCGAAATCACATGTTACAGGCAAATAGCGTTAGACTGAACTCTTTTTCGCTATATAACTTAGAATAGTATTGTCGTGTAAAAGACAAATACAGGAATTACTAACCTATATTATTAGGTTATCGGAAAAACAAAAGCTGGTGAATATATATGACAAGTAACTGATAAATACTGATATCGTGCATTAAAACTGCTTAATTATATATACAAATTTAGGTGCAACACAATGAGTAAATACGTATGAAAATAAAATATCAATATACAACACAAAAATTTAAAATATAACAATACAAGCTGAGGTACCGTCCTTTGTCCGAGTTATGAACTTTAAAAAATGTTGGGGTGGATGCTATGGTAAATAATACAAAAATTCTAACTTTCACATAATTTATTTACAACATAACACATTATTACAGTATTCACTAGTACCTTACCAAATGTTTTGCATAAGAATTCTACACTTATATATTTAAAATATGGTATACACTGTGTGATGGCCAGGCTGACTTTCTAAGAAGAAACAGTGGCGATAGCTGTGCTTTCTGTTGCCCGCTTTCAACCTCCAGCTCTTAATGTCCTTCCACAGTGTTTCACGTGATTAACTAATAATATTAACGGTCATTGGGCACAGAATTGAAACGTCACGGGACAAAGTAGGAAGTGGGTTCAAATTCGATGACGAGGAACCCACTTTGAGACTAATAATGCTTGGAGACGGCTTGAATGGGTAATGAAGAAAACTTTAATATAAGTTTAACATGACAGCAAATGTACAAAGTTTCGACAAGGTTTTTGTTCATCATCAGGTACAAGTAGTTTACACTGACACAGACATATATGTATATATATATATATATATATACAATATGGAACAAAGAGGTCACATGACCGGATACTGTTGCAAGACTTAGAAGAGATATCTTGGCACCCCAGGTTGTTGGTTTAGAGTAGGGTTATTTTGTTCAATTAAGATGGATTCCTTGATTTTTCATTTGTTTATATTTGGTTCTTTGTTTAAAATAACAAATATATACACTATGGTTTTTTGAGTTGCAATGGTGGAAAACATGTGACGGTTTTTTATTGTGTTCTGTCAATCTGGTTTCCAAGTTTCTTCTTGTTTTTCCGATGTATAATTCTGGACAGTTGTTGCATGTTATT